AGCTCACTATAACAGTCTTAATCAGTCAGATGATATGTTTTACTTTCTGATTACGAACAGTGGGTCAAATGTCATTTTAAAACATTTTAGTAATGGAATTGTTCTTGCAGTGGGTGATTGAGTAAAGCTATAATACATAGCTACCTTCTACCAATAATGTGCTCTTGTTTCTAGTCTTTTAGTCTCACATAGCCAGAGCTTCATGAAGTCTGATCTGCTTTGCAACATTTTCTGATCAAGAGCCCATTTAGACTGTCTGACCAGCATGTAAAGAGATCGATCACATTTTGTTGTTATGTGCCATTTAGGGCCATGTTTGTGTGAAATAGTTGGTATTACGATAATAGACTGGATTCCTGTCTTGTGTTTTTTTGTGTTTTTAGTTTGTTTCACCGTTTCTTTTGTTCTAGTTTCCCGCCAGTCATTAATGGACATTGATTTAAAAAGCACAGCTGTTGGTTATTTAGTTTATTATCATTGTGTATTTGAAGGGATAGTTCACCCAAAAATGAAAATTCTGTCATTAATTACTCCATGTCAAACCCATAAGACTTTCATTCATCTTTGGAATACAAATAAAGGTCTTTTTAATGAAATGTTTTCTGTCCCTCCATTGACAGCTACGCAACTACTACTTTGACGCTTCAAAAAGAGATCGTAAAACTAATCCATATGAATTGAGAGGTTTAGTTTTTTTTTGTTGTAATTTTCTGAAGAGACTCGGTCACTTTATTTGACGAACAGATTCAATTTAGGCTTTTATTCACATATAAACATTGATCAGCGAATATAAACAGAAGCTCGATTTAACCTGCTTGACTTGCGAGAACAAACTTCTTGCATAAGCTCAAACGTGCTCCGTAACACGAGAATGAACCTCACTGGTTCTTGTAGAAGCTCAAACGTGTTGTGTAACACAATAAATAACCTCATTGGTTCTTGATGAAGCTCAAACGTGCTGCGAAACACGAGAATGAACCTCATTGGTTCTTGCATGTCAAGCAAACATGTTTGATCTTTCTATTTACCACAACTGATGTGTGAGTTGATAATAAGTGAATAAAAGTCTAAATTTAATCCGTTCATCATACTATATGAATAATAATTAATATCAATCAAATGTTAAATAAAACTGCATAGTATTCACTATATGATTTAAATTTACGTTGATTCTTATTAAAGTTAGTATATTTCATTCTCATGCATCATACATGCATGAGAATGAAATATACTTGCATTTTGACTTCTCCCAAATGTCTTCCAAAATAAAACGTATAGTATTACAGCTAATTTTAGGGTCCAACTGGTAAGTAAAAATTTTATTGTTAAATGTTACCATCAATTATAAAATCCTCCTAAGCTTGTTTATGTGTCCTTTTATGGTGGCTGTGATCTCCGCCATGTTTTCATGGCTGCAGAATTAAATCAATTTGACACCAAATGCTTTAGTCAAAAAGATATTTTGGAGAGGTTAAAGTGCTTTTTGGCAACATGTCAAATACCGAAAATTGATTATTTCAGCCGCATTACCGTAAGCCACCCCCCACTGGCCCATTCCTCATCTCAAGTGCTGCTGACTAGCCTAAATATGAATGAATTACTGTATGTCTGACACACATTAACACCTGAGGGATCATTATACAATAAATCACGCATATGGGCAGAAATAAGCTGATGCACAGCCACACACTGAGACAGAGACATTAAAATGCTGCTCATAAATATCGAGTAGAAAGTGCATTGACCGTTGAAAACCAACATGGTGCTTAAGGCCAATTCAAGTCCTCTTTGAAAGACAAACAGACATCAAACACAAAACCAAAGTCAAGGATGGCAGCAGGCAGGTCAGAACATCTGAGGACTCTGTGGGAGTTTAAAAATGGGCCTAAAGGTTTAGAAATTAGAAAATAATTTAGAAATTCAGAAATGATGCACACCCACAAAACCACTGAAAAGTGGCACTTAATGGCTTAAACCAAACCTTGACCAGATTAAACTGATAATTTGACGTCACAATCTTCTGCATTATTTCCATTGTGAGATTCTGAGTATGCAATACATTTGTTATAATATTTTATACATAGCAATTACATTCACTCCGACATGTGTGTACTTGCTTTAAACAGAGAGTTGATTTATTTCTCCATTACAGTGTTATTTATAGTGACTAGCGCAAGGCCAGCACTTGAATCTGAAGGATAAATTGTTTCTACACAGTGGAACTGTAAAAGGACTGCTGACCCTCTTGTGTTTGCACTGTTACTGCAGTGCACTTCCTCCAAAGCAATTTGATTAATCTCTGTTGGCTCCCAACTCAGCTGCAGAAATCGCCATAGATGTGCTTGAAATACATTCAGTTGTTCTTTTGTAATATTAAATACACCTTTATAAGGTGTGCCGAACAGATTATGTTATAAAGTTGGTGACCTGGGGTGCAAAAAGTACTGAGAAATTGCACTTAAAGTGTCCATATTGTGCTATTTGAAAGGTCTCCTACAGCTTTACATGCATCGAAGGTCAAAAAATAAAATTTTCTTATAAATATACAATGCAGCATCACCTATTTTCTCACAATGCATTATTGCAGCAGTGAGCAATGTAACTACTCACAGACATGTTCATTGATTTCTTGAACGCGTTGGCCAATCAGAGGTGTTTAAAGCTATACACACACTACAAGATATTTTCGGGGCGATTTTGGACCGATTTCTCCCCTCCTGTTAATCCTAGGTAAAGTCCTGATTATCTTGATGGTTCTACATATTATCTAATCAGATTTTCCTGTCATGTGAGTTGTGATAAAAGTGACTGAATCTGCTCGGAAGAACATTGGAACCGCCCTGATCTCAAATCATATATATTGAACATGTTGAATATTTACGATCAGAAATCCTGTTGTGTTGGGGGAACCCTGAGGTACGTTCTGGAGATTTTCACATGAAATGAAACAATGCCCAATCAGAAAGCGAGTTGATGGAAGACTACAGCTTGCGCTGTACCATGTAAAGTCCATGTTCACACCGTCTCCGCAACTTAACAAATTATCGGTAAGAAGCAGTCCATTTCTTATTGCCGGTCATCCACTATGTTTGTTAACTTTAAAGTCACGTTTGATGCGAGAAATTTTGCAAGATTTCCCGTGTTCACAGTCGGTACTCTGGTTGTTTGTGAACGGGATCTGTTAGTGTGTGGTGTGCTTTCCTGGTCACATCGCGGCATTCCACACACAAGGAACTAAACGGTTAAATCTTATCGTCATGGTTGTGGTCTCTCACATTTTGAAAATCTTATAAGACTTAAAAAATCTTTTAGTGTGGCGCCAGCTTAAGTTAGAATCCACTCACTGCTCAAATGATCGAGTTTTTGTTCAGTGCTGAGTTCTGCACGCTTGCAAATCCTCCAAAAAACAAAGAGTAGACATGATGTAAGAGATTCATCACACAGTGTAGAGTAAAATTATAACAGAATTTTATGAGATCGCGATGACATGAGTCTGAGTGACAGCTTTTTAGTGATTATAAAGGGAGTGGTCTTTGCTAGAAAATCCATTGAAGAATAGGTTTTTTTTTTGTTTTTGTTTTTTTAGACAATGAATGACAGTGGGGTTCAATGTTGTTTTGAACCCTACTGACTTTCATTCTATGGACAAAAACAGATGTTAGTCATTTTGGGTGAAAAAAAAATCCCTTTAGCAATAAGGTAAAAACATATTTGCAAATGGTTGATGAGGTAAAATGAAGAAGTAGTGTGCATGAAAAATATCTGATTATTTCTGAGGTCTCTTTGGGAAAAGTCTGAGAGCAATATATAATCCATTTGAAGAAGTATATGCACCATGTGTCAATCATCATTATCTGATTTTAACAAATCCGCACGCACAAAATGTGTCAAAGGACTCTAGTAATCATTACCCTTTGCCACAATCTGAAAAGATTAATCTACCAAAAGAATAATGGCAACAAAAAAAAAAAAGCTTGTTTGAAAGAATATGACAAGTTGATGTGGTAATTGGGATCCATCCTTTACTGGTCCCACAGTTATTCGGTCATGCTCGACCTGTGTAGTTAATTAATGTAATTTTCAGAAAAGAGGGCCACTGGAATTATCTGGTGCCTTCAGCTGCTTGATGTGTAATTACTGTAAGCTTTACAGGTGTATCTCAAGCTGTGGGGAGCTGTCAATTAAATCAGAAAATACTGAATAGAGACTTTACCATACCAGATGTACATTTTTGTTCAATCATATTTTATAAAGACTAATTGCTCATACAGTGGTCCCAAAAAGTTTTTGGACAGTTTAATTAGATAACTATCACGGGATCACCAGGCTCTCTCACCACCATGCAACCACCGCTGTCACCGGAGTAGCCTTCTAATCACGTCCTGTCAATCTGTTACCTAATTTTAATCTTCATCTGGCCTTGCATAAGGACAAGGATCCAACTCAGCGATCACCACATGATTCCAAGTTCCCTGTGACGATTCCAAGAAGCACATCGTGTGATTATTCCCTTGTGTTTTCAAGTCTGATTCCAAGTGTGTATTCACCTGTGTACTTACCTGCTGGTCCTGCTCATTGCTCCAACGCCAGTCGACTGAGGTGTGTGCTTCATCTGTCAGCTCTCCATCAGCCATCTGTAAGAAAAAGGAATTTTCATTATATCATCACCCACAAACTATTTCAGTTATTTATTTACTCACCTGCTCCTTCTGCATCTGCTGTAGGCCTATGTCAAATAAAGCTTTTATCTGGATTCATTTACCACACTGTTCAGTGTAGTTTCCTGTCAATAACAAAAGCAAGTGGCATTTAGAGAGGAAAAAAAAGCTATTAGAGCATTTCTGAGAAATAAATTTCATGGCCATGCAGCTAACAGGGAACATTCTTACAGAACAAATGTTCTGGCAAGGTTCTCTTAAAATTATGACCAAACATAGTTGTCTTGCTCTTAATGCAGTTAATAATTTAATAAATAAGTTAAATGTTTAAAAAAAAGCATTTCTAAGAGTTTCTTATAAGTATTTCATGTTTATTTGTAAGTTGTATTTAAAAAATACTAGCGGACAATTTTATTTCCTGTGCGGCCGCGCTAACTTCCGGTTTCCGTTTCATGGTAAACAGAGCAGGCGAATTCCAGCATGGTATGGTCAGCGATCTGTTGCCATTCTCATTAAAGCACTGTCAAGTCAATGCCGTAAGTTTATATATGTGTTTATAAGGATCTTAAGTAATGTATTTTTGTATTGTCTAGTTGGGAAATGCATTTTAAAGCGCCGATGAATGACTTATATATTTTCGTCTGTCGAGAGCTTAGTTTTTCTAAGAGCATGTTGTGTATGCTTTCAGTTTTCACCATCTGGAGAAGAAATTAAAATGCAAAAACGTCCCTTGTGGTCCTGGTCTTCCTCAGTGGTTTATCTACGTGTTCATTTGGCAACATAACAATAGTAGTAATGTTCTAGTAATGTTAATTGAACGTTCGGTCAGCATTATTTGGTCTTTAATAATGTTATCAATGTTGTTAGCACAAAAATGTTATCAGTAACATTGATTTTCCTGAAAAGTTTTCTTTTCTTTTTTTATATTCAGAGAACATTCAAATGTAACATTTCCATAATGTTTGCAAAATGATAAAATGGAATGTCCCCTGAACGTTTGCATAACCAAAACGTTATACCATAACCATTTATTTTTTTACTGGTTTTAAATATTTTGGTGGAGCTGAGGTGGAGCCGGAGTACTCTAGGGCTAAGGTGGAGCCGGAGCGACTGAGGGCCGAGGTGCAGCCGAAGGGATGGCGGATCCAGACAGATCCGTAGGGATAACAGCGCAGCGTGGCGACATCCGACCGAGGTGGATCCGGAGGGTCAAGGGAACCAGGTGGAGCAGAGGGGGGGAGGAGCCAAGGCGGAGGAGTCAGGCGACGGGCCGAGGTGGAGTGACGGGAACAACGGCTGGAGCCGGAGCCTACCCCTTAGCGTAGCTGGGGTGCTTCTCAATTCTTATTTGTGCATCCTCGTTTCCTTTCCCCGCTTCATTTTCTCGCATCTCAGCTCTACCCCATGTAGGATAAAAGGGAAGGCTGCAAGGAAAGAAAAGGGCGATGGAGGAATCGAAGTCGTTTAGTTGATAAAACTCTTCCGCAAAGGATACACCCGTGTATCCTCGCTTATGACTCCTCAAGAAGCCTCCTCACTCCTCAATCCTTGCCTCATCATGGTGCAATTAGAGAATTGAGATGTCCTTCGAGATGGCTGAGCTCGATCAGTTTCTGGGTCATAGGATCGAGGAGGGATATTGAGAACCACCCATGGATACTGGAAGACCAGAGGCAGATCCACACAGAAAGGCATAAGACGAGATGTCAAGGGGCTGAAGGGAACCAGTGGAGGCGGGGCTGAGGAACTGGCTGATTTGAGAAGAGGAGGTGGGAGAGGTAGGCTGGGCAGGAACTCTGGAAACATAGGAAACTTGAAGCTGGGTGGGACCAGCGGGAAAACAGGAAACTCTAAGCTAGGCGGGACCACATGAGAAACAGGGGGATATCCCTTTCTAAAAATCTTCTAAATAATTAGAAAAACATCCACAAGAGATCAGCAGCATCTCAACCTCAGCTTTGGAAGTGTGGGCAGGGTATTCCTCCATTCCCTCGTACTCCAGTAGAATTCCCACATCATCACATGATGTTGCCAGCTCACACACCTGTGCTATGTTCAAAATCGCCCCCTATACCCTTCATTCACTATTCCCTGCTCCACTAATAGAGGCAACTTGAAGGAGTGAATGAAAACGAGTGAGTGAATTTGGACACTGAGTGCGGAGTTGGAAGGGCTGCCGTTTCTGCATAGTTTGTGCTTGCTGTTTATTAATCATTTGAAACTGAGCAAACTGGCAGCTCCAGTAGTAATGAAAATATTTATCTTGAACTCTGCCATGAAAAGTAGCATTTATAAACCTTAATTAAACAATTTAATAATCAATTAAAAATGAATATACACCTGTATGATATTACGCTGTAGCCACGTTGGACCAGTGTTTTGGAAAATGGTTGGATAGATGATTAAACTGTAAGCGCCATCTTCTTGTCAGACACAGGAATTCATTCACTCTCACAGTGAATTATGGGTATTCTCTAGCTGTTGAGCGTACATCGGTTGTACAATCATTATTGCGGTGCATTGTGGGATTGAATGAGTGCACTCAATAACAGCCACTATGGTTTTAGACACTACAAATGGCTGTCCCCTCAAAAAGTACAGATTTCGGACACAGCCCTGGTCAGACATTACTCGAGGCTGAGGCTCAGGCGATGTTTCGCTTGGTCCTCCTTTCAGACTCGGGCTCGTGCATCAGACAGGCTCAATTCCTCCGTCTGCGGTAGTCTCTGGCATCGTATCCGTGCAGAGGGGTGATGGCTGGCTGTTCTCTGGGCTCGGAGGAGTGGGCCTGATGGTGACTGCTGATCCGTTATTCACCAGCACCCACTCCACAAACGTGGCAAAATCCTCTCTGGGACTCACTGGAAGGAGTGCCTTGGACTGTTTGCTGAGGCTGGTGTAGTAGAAAACACAGATCGAGTGGTCCGGATAGTGAGTGCAGCACGCCAGATCTAAAAAGTCCAGGGTGTGGTCCTCCAGACAGAGCAGTTGGATGGCAGGAAGGTCCAAAGTGGGGAAAAAAATAAAAAAATAAAGAAAACACAGCAAAAATAAATCCTTTTTAGGTCCGGTATTCTGTCAAATGTAGTCACACACGCACAAGTCAAAGATCAACAAAAGACTATTTAATGATAAGAAGAACATGCAGGAGAATAAGAGTAAACGACACACTCACAAAAACAATACCGAAACTAAGGGCTTAGATAACAGAGAGAGCTGGTGAGTAAAACTGAAACGGATATCGGATTTATTAACGGAATTATCGACTTGCTACTTATAATAGATACACAGAAACGGTACTGTGAGCATGTCAGATCTGCTGTTGCTGCATGAATAGACATGCATAAACCCCATAACAGATCTAGGCAGGTGGAGCTGGGGGAGGTGGAGGATTTCAGAGGAACAATGCAGGACTACCCTACAGCAAACAATGAAACAGACTATTTAAATGTTGAGCAAGCAATCTCATTGGCTGCAGGATCAGCAGAGGCCAATCAGCTTGTGCCTATAGGTAATGATGTGATTGCTTGCAGACTGCATGTAAAGTACCTGCGCCTTCTGGAGTTTCATGACTGAACTAGATATTTATTAATATTTAGAATTTTTTTAAGTTTTAGAAAGTTTTAGCAATTTATTTGTTTTTTAAGATTTCTGATTAGCTTTAATTTATTTTTATTTCAGTTTTAGTTTTTGAAATTTTAGCACTTCAACAAACTTTTTTATAACTTTTTTAAACTATGTTTTATTTTATTTCTCTAATTTTAATTGACGGAAACAATTTTAATAGGTTTAGTTAATAACAACATTGCTGTAACTGATTATATGTGTGTCTCTTCTTATAATTTGAATATATTTGTTGTGTCTGTTCAGTATTTAAAGCAGTCTGAAATCTCTATGCACTGTAGCCTAAATAATAATAGCCTAATAATAAAAAAAAAACCTGCAAAATTTATAGTCTAAAGCATGCAAAGCAGGTGGAATTCATTCTCATCCTTTTTTTCTTTTTTTTTAATAGTGTCCGTAAAGCTGCTTGATATTCAGCACCACTGCTTTTAGTGAGTGCTGAGCACGGCAGGAGTGTCATGGGGAAGATAAAGACATCGTGGAGGGTTTTATGACACTGTTTGGTTTCCTGCCAAGAGATTATGCAGAGAAAAGTTCCAAAATCACAATCATCGATCAAATCTGCTTTGTCAAATACATCTGCGTGAGTGTAGGGCTATATAAGCTGTAGGGCTTATATTTTTGGAGAGGGGGAAAGATAACTCTAGGTTTTGAAATGATTTCCATGAATTTAAATATTGATCTGCTCCATTATCTGATGTTATCTAGAACAGCAATGTGACATTCAGGCATGCCAAGTTCATGTTTCCACAGCCTGTGTTCATTTAAGCTTAAAATATTCATGACTAAACACAGTCTGTTTGATCTGATGTGATTCAGTGCCATTTTATATGATCACTGCTCAAAAAAATTATTCCAAGGCAGCGAAAACATTAAAAAAATATATATATTAAAATTATCCCATCAGAAAATATATAATTTACATTCTTTACCATGTTATGTTCTTTACCAATCATGATATTCTGATGCTAAAGGAAAATAGAGAGAGAGAGAGTGTGTGTGTGTGTGTGTGTGTGTACCAGGGAGCTACAGAAGTACAGGGACTTAGTGTCAAGTTTTGTTAGACTAGTAAACACTATTTTTTTTTTTTTTATATTTATATTTCATGATTAGCTTGCATATATTTTCTTTATTTTATTTCTTTCACAGTAATCATATTTTAAACTTTTAATTAGCTTTTCAAATGATGTTTTAAAATTGAATACAGTCAGTTTTTTTATTGTTTTTATTGCCCTCATAATCAACATATCATGTAAAATATGCATATTTATATCTATTCAGTTTAAATAAACAAACTAAAGCAGCTGAATACTCATACTTTGTCTTGTTCTTTGTTAGAACCTGTAAAAGGTCAATTACAAAACTCGGTAATTGACCAATAACCAATGCTCATTTTCACATATACACAATGTTAGCGGTTTTATGTTACTGTACATTTGATTTTCAAAATCACGATGTTAGGAAAAAAATAAGAAATATAAGGGAAATACCAGTTTAACTTTCCAGAAGTATTCCATGTCATCTACACACTTATAATTAAAAAACAAAAAATTCATAGTTTTTAAATTGACAAGTCATTTACTTTTTCAGAAGACTTTGAAAGATAAACCTTTGTTATTAAAGTCAAACTGGTCTGAAAACAGATTTAAATGAAAGAGATTTTAAATGTGAATTTTGCCCATAGTATGGTATTCTCTGTGGCTGACTTCAGTGCCAAAAGAATATAATGACATCTAGGTTTTATTTAGGTCATTGAGCATAAATCTGTGCTGTGTTATTTTCTAAAATAATATTTGCTCTTTGATGTTTGTGTTATTATGGGATGGAGGTGAGCAGCAACCATCCGTATTTGAGCTTCTGAGAGTGTGGAGGTGCTTTAAGCCCCTTACAGTGCAGCTAATAACAAACATCCAAACATCCATCCACAAATAACCCATTTTACAGCTAAATTCTTATATAAACACTATCATGAAAGCATGGCTCTTTTGCCTCTTCATATCGTCTTATAAATCTTAGGCAATGGACAGATTGTGCACAAGTGGCTTCTACTGCTTTTCAAAAATGAGGAAGCACAGATGTCACTTGTGAATGGCAAACTGTGTCCAAAGATCTACTTTTTCATTTGCGTGTTTGCAGTGTTGCTACCTAAAGTTGCTTCTCTGTACCAGTAAATA